CAGAGCCCCGAGCTCCCGCGGGACAGATCACTAGGGAAGAGCCTTCGCTCCTCCGGGTTCAGCCCAGGGCGAGCACAATAAACAGAACAAGAAAAATTATCCATGAAGAATCAAGCAAACGGGTTTTACGGAGACACAAAAACCACGGCAGGGAAGTTCCGTGCCCGCAGCAGCCAGGCAGGCTCCAGCCCTGTTGGAGGGGTTGTCCCTTCCAGCCACCGGCGCTCCCGCTGGGCTGAGGCACTTTGTGCTCACTCCAAGGCCAGGGTCTGCATCTCCGCTTGGAATATATTGCCCAGAATATCTCAGATGAGAAATGAAACGAGAGCAAGAGATGAGCACGTACTTATAGCGCGGTGAGATCACGCTGTGGTGAAGCTTGAAGCATTTCATCTTAACAATACCTACTTAGAGAGTTTTTTTACAAGGCAGGGGCGAAGTAATCCAGAACAGGGCAGTATAAATGCTGCCTTCGGCAAAAACAGACAAGACGGAACAAAATTCAGGAAATCCTAACGCCAAACCTCCGCGATACTCTTTGAGCCTTGCAAGCGCAGGGTGCACATAATGACCCTGGAAGGGTGGCTTCGATCCCCACTGTGCCAGGCAGCCGTGGGACAAGCTCTACTTCCAAACCTTCCATCTATAAAATGGAAATACAGCACTGAGAGAAGCAGAGTACAGAGCCGAGTGCTATCGATGTACAGTGTGACTTTGGGCTGTTTCTGATTAACAAAAAAAAACCCAAACCAGATCCCGGCACGGGAAGGAGAATGCTGTAAATACAAGTTCCAATAAAGCCCAGAGAAGGTCTGGAGCCAATTCAAGTGGCACTGCTGTTTGCTTTCTTTTCTTCCCCAATTCCCCCAAAACCCCTTCACACCAAAGAGGAGCTGTGCTCCCACATTAGCTGTCTCCATTACAAAAGCAAAGTTCTCCAACGATTACCTCCCTTTTGCCGCAGCAGGGTAGGATTCTAACGATGCTTCTGACCTAAGGCGGTCAAGACCAATCATTAAGGACATAAGGCAAGCTCAGAAAATTGCAAAAATCTGCTCAGTTTGAACTAATCCTCGTGCTCAGCCTTCTCTTGCTCCATGATTCAGCAAGTGCAGCAGCCTTTTAAATAAAGCTTCCTGTTTGCAAAAATTGCTGCATAAAGCGTGTTGCTTCACGATAAAACCCAATAGCTCCTTTCAACAAAACTGCCATTTGTCCTCTTGCTTTTCCATTTATTTCTTCCCGCTTGTAGTAACTTTACTCTCAGAACCACCTCAAGCAGCGAGCTAGAGCAAAGGCTGAGCCCCCTGAAGAACAACTCAAGACAAGCGGCGAGTCTGCCGAGCCGATATATGGTCCCATTTACGTGGATTCCAGAAGCTCCTGGAGACTTCACGACTCTGCCTCGTGCAGAGCAGGCAGCAGAGGCCATTGCTACCCCGGTTCGAGGCTCAGCACCGGCGCTACCCCTGCTTTAGATGCAAAAAACCAGCGCCCCAGCGGCTCAGCCCAAGGTCACAAAGGAAGTTTGAACCAGTCCCAGATGTTTGGAGACTTAGTTCAATGCCTTAGGGACAAAGTGTCAGGAGGGCAGTTAAGGCTGGAGGCGGATTAACTCCTCGTGCGTTGCCCAGAGGACACCACAAGTAAGTCAACGCACACATCTCGGCTATTAATACCCACACAACGGCCAGATCCTCGCAACGCAACCCCCTGTTGGTATTTCCTGCTTACAGACTGGGAACACAAACAACCCCCAAGCTTCACGCAGGACTCGGGGTTTGCAAAGCTCACACGTCTCCGAGGAGCGAGAAAGGCAGCGCTCTACCCACCGCGTCGACGGGAAGGGCCACGGCACAGGAGCTGCGACCCCTTTCCTCGCGTGCTTCAACCGCTCGGTAACGCAACAGCCTTTCCAAAAATAAACTGCTGATGCGAGGCTGGAGAAGATTAAAGCCGAGTTTTCCTGGGGCAGGGGAGAACGTGGCTGGATCCCAAGCAATGCCTTCTCAGCCCTTCTTGGCAGGCTTC